TTTCAGCTGTAAAAAAGCTCTCCGAGACAGACCCTTTAACCGTGCCTCTAGAACCTGTCGAAATTTCTGGAACCTTCCCGAAGGAATCTGGTGTATATGCGGTGTATGATAGTAATGGTGTTCTGCAATTTGTTGGCATATCGCGAAACATTGCCGCCAGCGTTCTTTCTCATAAGAATACTGTACCCCAACTTTGCTCTTCCGTAAAGGTAACAACTTTGCGTATTCACATTCACTTTCTTTTTTAGTTTGCCCCAAAAAGAATGTTATCTTTCCGTATTTAGAAATAATATGACTCTAAACTTTCCAATTTACATGATTTATAGCCAAACACAAATATATATATATGGCTTTTTTAGACCCAATTTTCAAAAATGTATCTCTTTAAACTTTGTGCCCGCTCAAACATTGTCCCCACTCTAACAGGGAGTATTTTTTTTTTGATAATTAATGCAAAATTTTAAATATTTATGATCTTCTCGCTTTAATTTTGTTATGATGCAAAGCATAACTAAATCCAAACTCAGATAGAGGAGAAGGGTTGGGATAACTTGTAGTAAGTTGATGGGACAAGTTAAAGGTTTGTAACTCTAATGAGAATTGGGGCGTCGTTGCTCACCTAGCAACTGGTTAGATGGTGTTTGATGGACATGAATAGAACGGAATGGATACAGAGGATTTATATGGCGGACCCAAATAATTGGGATTGAGGCGTGGTTAATTGATTGATGCTGTGAGAAACAGTTTAGGATGGAGAGAACGAATTTCTCGTTTTTGGGTTTGTTGACAAAAGGGTATATAGAAGTGAAACTTTTGACCAAGGTTCTTCTTGGTGGTGCTATGAGTAAAACCACTTGCAGAATCTTTGTTGGGGTACAGAGACTTAGAAATCGATTTGAATTAGCATGTCCAAGTTAGAGTAAAGTAATATGCTGTGCAATTATGGTGAAATGCACATTGTGGTGACAATATACGGAGAACCTTGGGTTTTACTTGTCATAAAAGGTTGCTTCTTGTTGCGTGTTCTTTTTTGAGTTAGTAAAATACACTTTGTGACCCGAGAAATGAAGCCAATTTTGCTTTTCTTCTTAAAATTTGGTTTCAGTGAGCTATTCTGTTGTGCGCTTCTTCCATTGTGCTCTGTCCCTGCTTCAATTTATGTTACTCAATTAAGTGAAAGACTGAAAATTCTGTCTCAGATTGAGAGAGGGTAGTTCCCATAGTTTGGTTGCTAGCAAATACTATTAACTTTTGTATTGGGTCTTCCAAATCATGAGAGCACACTTGGAGCATAAGTAGAGTTGCTCCTCTTGTGACCGGTAGGTCACGTGGTTGAGACGTTGAGTATGTACGTGTTTGGAACTGCCTCTTTGCAGAAATGTAAGGAAAAGGCTGCATATTGTATATGTCCACTCTCCCTTTGCTCCTTTGCCATAGAATACTTCATGCGTGGAGTATGCCCTTCAATTTTTTCAAATCATAGTGGAACAAATTGTTAAAGGAGCTAATAACATGGTTACATAGCCTGCAGTAGCCTCATTTGTATTATTAAGGGTCCTCCTTTTGGTTCGTTCTGCCTGGTCTAGTGAGTCTCTTTAGTCTCTATTTGCAAGAGTAGAAGATAATGGGAACTAGTTATTGCAAATCTGCAATTAGTTCCTGGAGTGACCCTTTCCTGATATTTTCCCTCCTTTGTCCCAAAAGGGAAAAAAAGGAAGAAAAGAACTCTCTTGAACATAGGACGACAACGTTGCCTCTTTAAATGGAAGAAACTCAAAGAGAAACTCCTTATAAAGCCGGGGGAACATATTTATTCGACTATGAATGGGGTGGGCATTCGGTCGGTTCGGTTCGGTTTGAAGAAATTCGGTTCGGTTATTAGGTTTTCGATTTTGTAAAAGTAGTAACCGAAACAGAACTGAAATAAGTTCGGTGCAGTTCGGTTATTCTAATTTCGGTTCGGTTTTCGGTTTGAACATTATCATATTGGACTCCTTCTATGTAATAATACGACTGGCGAATTTGTTGATTTTTCCCAAAACTTCGAAATTGTTGGAAATATTGTGTTTATAGAAAAAAAATAGACTAAACTTTGCACACTTTATGGATCATAAAATTCAAACATAGTGTAAATTACAACTCTGTGTGAAATTCTCCCGGTATCTATCACATATGCTATGGAAGTTTTAATAGACTGAAAGTCGTTAAGATTGGAAAGTTGATGGACTTACTTAATTGGGTTGAGTCTTTGATAGATTGGACCTAATAGTATTAATTTATTACCTATGGGCTTAGCCTATATATAACTTAAAGAACATATATGTTAATAATTCGGTTTTTCGGTTAACTGAACTAAAAAACTTAATAACCGAAAACCGAACCGAAATTTTAAAATTTTAAACCGAAACCGGCCGAACAAACCGAATAACCGAAACCGAAATAAAAAAAAAAATCGGTTCGGTCAGTTTATTCGGTTCCGACCGAAATATGCCCACCCCTGATTGAATCTTTATTATTTGAAGTGCACAATCCAGCCACTGGAACTGTGTACGCTTTGGGCGGGAAGATCAATGTTGTCTGATTTTCCTGACTAACACTAACTAAAAATAGAAGAGCGAGCATAAGCATCACTGTCCTCATTGTTACCGATCATCATTCTGCCTCTGCCTGCCGCTGCCACTGCTGGGTGTCAGCTTGATAAGTTTTAAAATCAATTCGTTATGCCCAAAGCTGCCATAGAAAGCTTGTTTCTAGTGCTCAAAGTGGCTAGAGAAGGTTCTGCTAGTACAACGGAAAACAGGTGGTCCACATTTCTGATTGAAGGCATTCATGGTTTCATTCTATTCTTGGTTACTTACGTCACTACATTATGCTTCGGAAGGAAACAGATTGGCATTTGGTTTGGTCGCTGCTCGGCATCTGGCAATACCATCCTTTCGCTTCTGCCTCTAATCAGCACTCTTTTATCATAATATCATTTGTTATAAGACACAGTACAACTGTAAAAGGGAAACATAGCGAGAATACTAGTACTCTGTATGTGGAATTTTGATTACAGTGCACAAAAAGCACACCATGTTGAATAAACATCCACTTCAGTTTAGAGCATAAGAAGACGTCTTGACAGATATATACTACCGATTTGCTCTCCAACATGGCTAATTAGTTATAGTAACAGGCATTTTACTATATTTTGTTTGGCTAAATTATACTAATAGCATTTTACTGTTATTTGACATGAATATTTTCTTATCATCTTACATAACTTTGTTAAACATCACATGCACGGCGATTCTTGCTTAGAATCTCAACTGCTGAGACCAATTCCCGTGTGCTCCTTGAATGTTATATCGGAATCCTCTAAGCAGTGTAAGCATAATAAATTGCCTATCTTCTTAACAATGAAAGACAAATTTGTACTTATTATTTCTGTTGAAATGATTCACATCTGTTTTTCTCTCCTTTCATGGTTTCACTGATTTTTAGATTATATTTTTCCTTTGGATACTTGATAACTGAAATTACTGCATTGTAGGTTGGTGTGGTAGATGAGCCAGATAGAACAGCTTTAACCGAATCATGGAAATCATGGATGGAAGAGCATATTGCAGCCACCGGAAAGGTACCACCGGGTAACGAACCAGGAAACTCAACATGGGTACGTCAGCCACCAAAGAAGAAGACTGATCTGAGGTTAACACCAGGTCGTCATGTGCAGTTGACAGTGCCCTTGGAGGACCTCATTGACCGGCTTGTGAAGGAAAACAAGGTGGTTGCTTTCATAAAAGGGTCAAGAAGTGCACCACAATGTGGATTTTCACAGAGGGTGGTTGCCATGCTTGAAAGTGAAGGTGTCGATTATGAAAGTGTCGATGTACTTGATGAAGAGTACAACTACGGATTGAGGGAGACGTTGAAGAACTATAGTAACTGGCCTACATTTCCACAAATTTTTGTGAAGGGTGAGTTGGTTGGTGGGTGTGATATCTTGACCTCGATGTATGAGAAGGGTGAACTTGCCACCTTGTTCAAAAGCTAAATGTTCAACTAGCAGTAAAAAGAATGTACCTTTATTGTAAGAGTTGACATGAGATTATATACATCATCGCACTAATTCACTCATCAGTGTATCTGATGTTCTGGAAATAGTGGAATAGTTGGAAACAAATCATTGTTTCTGTGTATAAGAGGACTTTGTTATAACTAGCAACTTGGAAATTTTTGGGTTTTTGTCATAAAGAACTCCTATATGGATCTTCATGTGCTCTGTTGATGTAATCGAAAATGTATTGGATAAGGAAAACAGACAATGGCAAGACTTATACAAGATGGATGAGTGCCCTCTCTAGATTCTTTTTGATAATTTTCATGATGGCATTTGCAAGAAAGCTGTGGATGGAATCTGTTTCTTCCTTGTATGCACTTTTGAATTCTGATATTAGTAGTTGTATTTTCCAAATCTATGCAGGACGCAGTGACTCTTATAAGTGGCCCCTATTAGTTAACAGGGGCATCCCATCTCCTATCTCGTTCTCCCTTTCCGGTGCATTTATAGCCTATTTTGAAAAGTGTGTTTATTTGAAAGTACTTTTAGTGAAAAATAGTTTGTGATTGACTAATTAATTTGAAAAATATTTCTAAGCAGCAATTTGTGTGTTTGACCAAGCTTTTAAAAAATGTTTTTAAGTGTATTTTTTTTTCAAAAGTGCTTCTTGGAAAGAAGATATTTTTTTCTGCTTCTCCAAAATTGTATCTGCGTCTATTCAAAAACACCTTTTTTTTTCTTCTAAAAGCTTGACCAAACATTTCAATTTTGAAAAAAGTAACTTTTTTGAAAGATAAAAAGAAAAAGTACTTTTCAACTTGGAAAAGCTTGGCGAAGCAGGCTATTAGTATGCTTAAAACTTCCTCTTCACAAAGTTTGTTAAGCTTTGACCATTATGTGGATTTCACTTTCCCGTTAGTTAGTGGCGGAGCTAAGCTCCCTTTATCCGAACATTATCTATCTATTGTCTATTGTATCTATTATCTATTACTATTTATTATCTATTACTTTTGTATATAATTACTAATAAATTTTTATTTTTGGGAAAAAGCTAGAAGCTGCCAAGTATTTAGGTTTTAGGAGTGTTTAGATTTTTCTTTGCTTAGGATTAGGTTTCTTCACACTTTTCCTTAGGTTTAGGATTAATTCTTTATGTTTTTCTTTCTTTAGGATTGTGCCTTTACTTTGTTTAGGTATCCAACAACCTTATGGAAGAAGCAAGCAGTTAGCATTGTCCGTACGCAAAACAATTTGAAAGATTTCAGATTTTCGTATGATCCTGATCTGCAGCTTTTTGGTAAGACTCTGAACTACTTTTAGGCATTATATAACCTTCTCGATTAGATTTCATTTACCAGACAATTGTTGTATTTTCACTAGAGAAGAAAACAAATTTGACTATATGAGATTGGAGGCATAATAATTGAAACATAATTTCTGTAAGTTTGTTACTTTATTTTTCTTCACTTTTTTTCAACCAGTAGTTGTCTGTGAAATTCTAACTGATGAAAATTCAGTTCTTAGACTATGTTATTGTGAGTTAAAAAGTTTATTGCAAATACACTTTTTTGAGTCACAAGTGTTAATATAATTCTGCTTATAGCACCACGACTATGAATTTGATATTATTTCTTTTTTATAAATTGAAATATTCCATAAGCACAAAAGTATTGATTAATATGCTCTTTATTGAGCGAGTGTTCTTTTTTATTTATTTAAAAAGTTCTCTTTGTTATGGATGTGATTGTTTTTTTTCTATTTAATTTAACTTTAAGAGATAGAGCTTATAATATTTTGTCAATGCAAGATTTGCTGATAATTGAATTATTCGATCATCAATTATATGATAATTCTAAACTCATATTTAGAAGTTAAAATTTTCATATTTAGAATAAGTATGACTTGAATTCATATGGAGAACTTAAATATTTTATATTTTTTTATTTGTTAATTTGAATAAATTCACATCGAGAACCAGTATGCTAGCTAAAACATTAAGTGTAAAGTTTTTAAGACTCTATATATTGCTTGACTTACAAGTTACAATTAATGACAACATGTAGGTGGCTACAAACTTGTTTGAATAGCAACAAAATTATACATGTTTACATCACTGTTCTTATGCTTCTTAAACAACCTTCTTTAGCTAATTCGCGAATAACTTTATTTGCATGTAATCAGATTTTTTGCCTTTAACTTTATCATTAGGTTTGGTACAACAATATAACATATTATTATTCATAAATAAAAAATTTATAATTATAAAGATTATATAATGAACTTACCTAAGTTCTTCGTCTTTGCAAGTCCAAAAGATACTCAATAACTTTGAATTCAAGTTAGTAATACAAGCATTTATTTTTCTTTTTAAACGAAGATTGCATCTACCTCGACGTTAGTTGTGCTATTACACAATTTGTTCCTATTCTATATACTAAATACTTTATTTATTGATAGATACAAAATACACGTGCAACGCATATATTTTAAAACTAGTACTATATAAATAGGGCAAATACTTTTTTTTTTTTTTAATGTATATATAAGTTTTTGAATTCCTTTGTCAATCTTTTTGTTAGGATTCTCGGCTTTACCGCTGCCTTTATTTTGGCGGAGCTAAATTTAATGAAGGTATTTCAAAAAAGATTATCTTGTGTAAATAGGATTGAATTAATAAATGACTAGTGACTTGAAAGCCGATTATGTCGCGACTTGGCAAATGCAAGTGGCTAAAAAATGACAAGCAGATGAGGACAAAAGGTCATGGATTTGAAGCGCGTTCTTGTCCTTTGGCTCTACATAAATAAATAAACCACCGATTACTCTAAATAAACATGAGCGGTTTGGCCTCTGGAATTAAGTTTTCTCTGTAAAACAAACTTTACTGCTTATCTCGCCCACCCCTTACTCTGTGTAAAGCATCTCTGTCTTTACCGCAATAGCACGTACCGGGCATAACTTCAAATGTGCTGCTCGTTTTACGTTAAGACTTCAAACTAGCATAATAATTTTCCTAGTGCCCGTCTCTCATCTTGCATATCATTTAACCATAATAAATTATATGCATTCTCATCCAATTTAATTAATTAACCATAGTGAGTTAATCTGATTTGGTGTAAACATCCGGTACGGATAAGTTTTTTCCCACTCACGATTGTTTAACAACATGACATTGAGCGCCCGTCGCACGCGCATAATCTAATCTTCAAGCTTCACATTTCAAACTTCTCGCCAAAATTGTTGTTAATTAGATGTTTGACACTCTTAGAATATGCAATACAATATTTCTTATAATAATTGCAGCCTCCCCCATTGTTCTATTTTATTTTTTCAGATGCTTCTCAGAAGTTCAACATGAATGGGTGCACAACAATCACCGGAGAGATGGTTCACTAATAGACCGAGGGATAAGTCATTCAACTCCCGCAATATTCCTTATGAATGGGTGTACAGTGACGAATTCAAAAAATATTAAAATGTTATATTTCGGATTTTAACCTGTGATCTAAAATAATTTTTGAAACCGTTGGTTCTATACTAAAATCTTCTCTTATGTTAAGGGATTCAACAGTTGATATATAACTAAAAAAAATTTGTTTTTATCTTGTCTATACCGTATAATTTTTCTATTCCCTTTCTGTTAGGGATATAGTAGATATGTCCTAGATCCAATCTCATATTTGATGATTTGAACATATTTTTTGAACGTTATTTGATATATAAAAAAAATATATGACATTCTTTTATCATAAGTATTATTAATTGTTTGATTAATTTGATAAGGTCCTTGATTAAATTTTGAGATTAATGAGAGCAAAGTCCCTTACAATTTAATCTAAATTTGTTCTTGATCGTAGGATTATTAATTTGGACATTAGTAATCCGGTTAGATCAATATTTATGTGATAGTCTTTAAGCGATAAAGATTAGTTGATCTCATTAACTGAATCACATAGATAGATGATGCATATAGAGATATGATCATTGAACTGACTCATTGGATAATTCCTAATGGTTAGAATTACCATAAACTATCAATATGATATTTTCTTGAAGAATGTGATGTAGAAGTTTCCTTTGACCTGAGATCGTCATAGTAATTGACAAGTTATTTATTGTGCTTTGATACCAGACACCTATGGCCCTAGGGCGATAGTTGAAATGATACTGGGCATGATTAAATGCTTGTAGAATTAGTGATTGATTAAGATGAAATCTGTCAACTCTTGGTAATGAGTTTAAGCTCCATGTTGTCATGAATTATAAACGACCAAATTAAGACCTTGGCCAGGGCAATTGAATGAAAGAAGAAATGAGTTTCTTAGGTCATTCGATGGTCGATTATATTTGACATGAACACATAGTTGGTCGCCTATTAGGATTTGACAATTGAACCATATCCTAGGGTGCCTCGGAGCTATAAGGATGGAAAGAATTACTACATTATTCTTCTACTGGTTCTTGAGAGTAAATTGTATACTTCATGTTATCCGGTCGTTAAGGAGTGTTGCTAGACGCCACCCTTGATTAGTATATTGATGTGGTCAATTTACTACCGGCTTAGTATTGAACCTATGGGGTCGCACACTAACGAGTGTTCTGATCTTTGCTAAAGGATTAATTACTTTATTATTTGACAATTAAATTAACAAATTTAATTAGTCAAATAGAGTTATTAGTTCAATTGGAATATTATTATATTCTTTGCTAGCACTGATGATATAATTAATATTATGAACAAACTGAAGTTTTCTATTTGGAATAGAAATTAAATTATATCTCTTGATTGATATATATGCATGAAATATACAAAATTAATATTTATGTATATATGAAATATATAAAAATTAATGAAGGCTAATTAGTGAAATCCAATTAAGAATTGGATTCATGTATGAAGTCCACAAAAGGGACTTAGTCGGCAACGTGTTTCCCGTTTTGGAATGGGATTCCATCTTCAATGGAATTATCTTTTTCTAAAGTTCAATTTTGAATTGGAAAGGAAAAAAAAAAAGCCCAAACGCTTATAATTTTTCCTTAATCTAGTGGAAAGTATTGTTGGCTTAAGTGATATATAAATACATCATTAAGTGCCAAGAAAAGCTACGGGAAAAAGGAGACCTAGCATCTGTTAAACGAAAAAGAGCGGAGCAGTAAAAATTAAGAGATAGTCTTGGCAAAGAAAATTAGTTTTCTTGTCGTGTTGTTGGCTGGATTTTGAGAAAATTCCAGCATACAAATTTCATTCAATTTGTTCGCGGGTTTCATTGATCAAAGGGTTGATAGCAAGGATCACTTTCGTTATGGATACACATAGAATCTTCGCACTATCGAAGAAATTTTGAAACGAGTCTCTCTTAACCAGGTACGTCTCAGATCCGATCTTTGACATGTAAATAAATTTTAAACACGAAAAGATCCGCCTAGGATTGTTATTGTCTTCCAGCTGCGTGTTACGAACACCTATACACAATCCTTCAGCGGTATCAGAGCCGTGGTTTATTGTGTCTAAAATTTATTTACAAAATATTTTAATATTATATTTGAAGAGTTCAAACCATAATACATGTGTCTTGTGCAATAGACAAATTGTTTGAATGCTGATATTATTTTATTGTGGATAAAATATGTATTCATATAACTATTGAGATAGTTTAAAACTTGAAATTGAAATTTTGTATTAGATACAACGGGAATCTATAATAGGATGCATGATTCTATTATTGTTTTTAATTATTATTAGTTCATGAGATGTTAATTAATAATGATATTCTGGCATGAATTACTTTTTTGTGATATATGTGATATATAGATTAAACATGTTAGAAGAATGTTGAATTTTGTTTTTGTGTCACATGTTTGTTCTTTACATAATTTTGAATTATTTATTACATGTGATGGGGTTTTAATTAACTTTATGTTTTGATGATATAACAAACTTGTTGTGAGAAACCAGATAGAGAACCTACTCCACAGGATACATATCTCATATGAACTGGTCGAAGCCTGAACATCAGCAAATGGATGAATGGCCACATGGAGGAACACAATAGGGACATGATGACCTGGTCCCTTAGGGTTCTCCGACGAAAGCACAAGTCAGTAATTATACGCAATCAATATAAAGAGGAACACAACAGGGACCTGCTCCCTTAGGGTTCTCTGACCAAAGTACAAGTCAAGTGCACGACCAGAATGCAACAGAAGAAAGTGACCATCTGACAACTGTTACAGAAAGAGGAACAGTTCGAGGACCTGGTCCTAGTGTATGTCCTGACAGAAGTATTAGGACCTGGTCTGTTGGTATGTCCCGACATAAAGCACAAAGTCCAGCTGGAACGCAACTGCCCAGAAGTGGCTGTGTAGACAGTGCAGCAGTCATTTCTCACTGAGAAGAAGTACACCAAGAGTTGACACCACTATCTATTGTGATATCTTTTGTAATAAAACAACCTGGTGCAAGACACACCATCACTTGTGCATTCAGTGATATTCTCTCAAGAAGATGAAACATCGATCCGGCATTGAAATCACTGGTGTGTCAAGAACAAGAAGACAACTCCACTAAGGATCAATTTCTAAATGAAGTCTTATATATATCCATAGTTGAGTTGTAATCTTGTTAATTGTTCTAAACTGTAATTCCTAGTTTGCTTTCTTAGAAGCGTTGTTTTAGGAACAAATAAAATTCGTAAACTTTCGAGTTTATGTTGTGACTAGAAATAGTCATAAGTTAAATCCTTTGTAACTAGGAGAGTTAGAGAGTGACTTGTGGTGGTTGTATCACAAGTTAGTTTAAAATCTTTGCAATAGGGAGATTGCAAAGTGGCTTGTAATATGTAGATTACACGTTAGTTGAGTTAAAAGCCTACAAGAGTAGGTCGTGGTTTTTTTATCCCCTTGTGTGGGATTTTTCCACGTAGAAAAAATCTCTTGCCTTCTTTACTTTCATCCTTTACAACATTCTACGTGTCAGTCTCATACGAGACCAGGTAATCTATAGTTTGGTGGACTCATATAAACTATTAATTGGTATCAGAGCGGGTTCCTCCTATCAGGCTAACACCTAGGAAGGATCCTAAATGGCTGCTCTACTAAATTTTGAAGAAGGACAATCAACCTATAGACCTCCCAGATTCAATGGTAAATACTACGACTGGTGGAAGACTCGGATGCATAATTTCATAATGGCTGAAGATTCAGAACTGTGGGACATCATTTGTGATGATCCACATGTTCCCATGAAGAAACGTGAAGAAACAGGATCATTGGTGCCCAAAGGGAGAAGAGAGTACAGCGACACTGACAGAAAAGTTGTAGAAAAGAACTATCGTGCCAAAAATATGATGTGTGCCATAGGACCTGATGAGTACAACAGAGTGTTGCACCTCCTTCTTCACCTACACCCCGTAAGGGCGTAAATGAGTTTTTCCAATTAAAGGACAATCAGAACGGGATTTAGTTATTAATTATTCAGAGTCGCCACTTGGGAGATTAATGGTGTCCCAAGTCACCGGTTGAATCCCGAACCGAGGAAAATTATGACTCTATTAATAGTCCGTGAACCCGAAATCCGAGTAAGGAATTCTGTTAACCCGGGAGAAGGTGTTAGGCATTCCCGGGTTCCGTGGTTCTAGCACGGTTGCTTAACTGTTGTATTTGATTTTATCTGATTTTAATACATGCTAGCTTGTGTGCTTTTTATTCTTAAACCACTTTTGTCATTATTTTTTAAAGAATTGCAACGTCGTGAAAACGCGTCTCAAACCACATCGCAATCAATGCACCCGTGGTTGTTAACACATTTCGACTTCGTTGAGATTTGAATTTGGGTCGCATCAATGCGCACCCGAGTTTAAGAAGATAATTTTATTAAAATCGTGCCTAAAGAATCTAACGC